AGTGATAGATTCCCTCATCGTCTTGGACTGCTTTCAAAATGGTCAGGTTGCTAAATTTCTTATCATAATTTGCTTGAAATCTTGATTTAAATGTTTCTTGACCATACTGAGGTGTTGCAGTTTTCAACAGTGACACTATTAATTTGAGAGTATCTCCGACACTCTGCTTGTACCAGTGGACTCCTCCAATGCTGACCCCACTGGGCAAAGCACATGTTATGTTCGCTGGTTCACCAAGCTGAACCGTTTTCACTGGAACTAGAGCGTCTGAATTAGAATATAGAAAAGTCAAGGTTTTCTATTTGACATTAAATTCTCAATTTAGAACATTTTTAGTAAAGATAAATGCACACTTACATCCTTGATGAAGTAAAAGCAATATAATCCATACCATGACCATCGTGACACTGCTCCTTGTTGAGGACTGTTGGTATTTCACAGAATGAAGGCGGTGAAATCACTGTATTCAGTAAGACAGTAAAATGCTGCTGATTGGTCAGTACAGAATAGATTCAAATGTAGACTTCCTGTCACATTTGCCTCCTCCTGGGCTTTGCAAAAGCTCTCATCTTCTTTCATCTTGTATTGTAACTGCCTATTTTGTTAACTCGAACACTGTTCCCTACATGTTATAGTTATGCTTGTTATTAAACCTTACGGACTCAAAGAGTAATTGTGATTTAGTGATTTAGCCTCATATTGGAATTTCTTTCATTTATTTATTGATGTATTGTGTTAGTAGTAGTGCTTTTATGTCACCTGGTTTTTGCATGCCTGTTTTCACACCTTATTCACGCCGTTAGACAGATCATGTGGGTGGGGGGTCAGGTGATTGTATCTTGGAAAGTAGGGAGCATTCACACAGGAAGCCTGACACCGGTGTGGGGAAAGATTCTATAGGTGGTGAAGTCTTTAGTTTCTCTTTTAGGATGTGGGGAAAGAGACAAGGGGATCAACCACTGTAAGAGGTGATAAGGGATTGTTAACTCTTTCTTTGGGGGAAGTTCAAAGCTATTAACAACAGCTGTGTAATGCCTTTTGTTTTGTTGACTGGTATTTAAACCCATGGCTGTCCCGGGATCGGGAGAGTCTACTAGGCTACGTCCACACTAGCCCGGATAAATCTGAAAACAGAGTTTGTGTCTACACTATCGCTTTCACAGAGTTTTGCATCCACACTGAAACGGCTGAGAACGCGCATATGTGAAATGCAAGATGATTCGACCTGGGTCATTTCTGTCTGCCAAAATTGAGAGCAAACAAAACAACTACTGTATAATGCCTTCCGCTATCTTAGTTTAATTGGTCATATGACTGCATCACATGACTAAAATGTGTCATCGTTCGCTGTCCACACTGCGACGCGAAAACGGCGGAGAGCGTTTTCAAAACGCTGCGTTTTCCTTGACCGAAAACACCGTCTCAGTGTGGACGGAAGGCCAAAATGGAGAGAAAAGGATGCGTTTTCATACAAAAACGTATTAGTGTGGACACGGCCCTAGTCAGTGCCCCGCGATGGCTGCTCTCTCTCACTTAAGCTTGGATTTTTTTAAAAGATGTTAGCTACTGCTCATCGTTGTCTGCAGGCTTTATTAGATGGAAATTTCCACAGCAAAAACCAAGGCTTATGAGCAGTTTCTTTGAGCAAATTACACCAGAAACAAGCCAGTAGTTGTTTAAACACTTTGAAAGAAAAAAAAGGCACACACACATATTAACCCCCTTGGTGAAGCTATAGGAAAAGCTACAATAATGCCAGATTTTTACTATATGATTTTAGCTTTGATTTACATTAGGTGGCTCCACAAAACCCCAAATCCTAATGAGAGATAACAGGTATTATGACAATAGTCACATCTTTTTCAAGACATTTTTTTTTTTATCAGGATCTGTATAAACTCCCATCAAGTGGGTATTTGACCCTCAATTGAATTTTGTTCTGTGTATTGCATGCTCAATCCATGCCCCCATTCCAGTGCAGAAGACATGTCATAAACACAAACAAAGCTATTTAAAAAATGCCAAAAAAGAACAAAAAGCAGAAATTGTATAGAAAAGAGAGTTTGTAATTAATTAATCTCAATTAACTGCATTTATTCCCACAAGAAAACTTGCCCCAATGGTCAATTATTATTATTATTTTTAATTTTAAAGGGTTTTAGTGGGTGACAGATTAAATATTAGACATGGAGATGAATATTGTAAACTCAGGCTCTTTTAATTTATGGGGGAGGGGGGGCATTTAAACTTCATTTTAATGCAAAACAGAGAAAAATAATATCCCTGGCCAAAATTTGGGAAGACTTAAAAATAAAGTGTTATTTTAAGTACTTTAAGTAAAATGGTATGGTATGCTCATCTGAATCTGTAGCACATTTTCTAACCCCCTATCTTCTACCACTGATAGTGGTCTACAGTCCAGAGCAATCCATTTGCGGGAGAATTTGTAAGTTTGTCCAATGTTGACCTAATAATTTTGGTCCTGAAGCCAGTCATTTTATAAAGTTTGGGCTGCCGACATCTTTTGTTGGTACTCAAACTGCTAGTGCTAACAGCTCCCACAGTTTCTCTGCTCGCTGCAACATGTTTTGCATTTAGATGGTAGCGTAAGGTTGAAGTGCTTCAGTTGTATGCAAACTCCTTTTTTGCACAGTTTGCACAAAACCACAATTTTTTAAGGCTTCCGTCGGGTAGTCTTTTGAATGGAATGCATGCACTGGGGTGGGACATGCTAGAAACACTCCAAATCAAAGGTTTCAAACAGGCATCCAACTAAGATACTCACACCACCTTTTGATGTTGCAAAAGCAGAAATAGTAGCTCTACTCTGATCCCCTACTGAATGACTGTGCTCTTAACCTAGTTACTAACAGTCTTGAGAGGAAACATTTCTTCCACCTTTAATCTAGGTCTTTATCTTTTAGTCGTTACTTACACCTCATGGTCATTATAGTAAAGGCACAAGACAAGTGAATCCCAGCTGTCCCTTCAATTCAACACAACAGACAAGGACAGTGTCTGCATCACTACAGATGTTGACTAATCTGTATGATAATGTCCTACTCAATTCATTTTCCGCACAATGTGCGTTTCTGAGATTTGCAGATCATTGTATGCTATTTTTATTTACAGTTCACAATCTGCACAGAGCTCAGTCATCATCACATATTTATTAACTCTCATTGTCGATACCCTGCTGCTAATCGCAGTAATTTTAAAAGTTTTTTCCTTTTCCTTTTCTGAAGTTGATGCCCTCCAGATGAAGTCAGTCATTAAAAGCTTACTGTTTTCTAAGTCTGATATGTAAGAATTTACTGTGGTGAAATATTTATTTATTATTCTTTGAAATTCACAGCATTTTGTGCTGCTGAAATTTTAGAGTAATTCAAAGCAGATACTTCAGTCAAATAGCACTAATAGTCAAGTGGAAGGAGATTTAATTCTGATGTGTTAAAACATTTATTTGGTTACATTTTATTGGACAATCTTAAGAATACGTCAACATATTCTTTAAAGAATCTGGTTAGTCTTTCAGTGGACAACTGGTACATGGGCATTATCTCTACTGGACTGTGACTAGAGTTTATGGTAAAGCATAGAAGGGATGTCAGCAATGGGCAGAAGATTTATGATAGCAGTGTGAAATCTCACTTGTTGTGTCCTTGAACCAGAGCTTTGGAGTGGCTGTTAGCAGGCAGGCTGGATTCCTAGTTACAACATAATTGATACAAATTGGTATTTTGCAGGTAAGTTTATTTGCAGCAGGTAAATCCAGCTGTTATACTGTAGATTTGTTTGAGTGGTGATCGTTGTTGCCAACTCCCATGTTTTGGCCAAGCTCAAGCTGTTGGACAAACCCAAACCATTATATTTTCACCACTGTGCTTGACAGTTAGTGTGAGGTGTTTGTGCTAATATGCTGTCCGTCTGTTTTTCTCCAAACAAGGCACTGTGCATTCTGGTCAGACATCTCCACTTTGGCCTTGTCTGTCCAAAAGTAATTATTCCAGAAGTCTTATGGTTTGTTTGATGCTGTTCTGTAAAGCTATGCTGTGGTGACATGTTTTTTGAGAGAGTAGAGGCTTTCCTCTGGCAACCATTCGGCCAGTACCATAATATAAGGCACAGTGTGATCTTTTTCTGATTATGCTGTCATGAACTTTAACTTTTGTCATGCTGAGACCTGGTGACTCTTGGATGTAGCTCTTGGGGTTTTGCAGTTCCTCTGAGCATTTTACAATCTTGAGCTTCTTGATCTTATCATCCAGTCTGTATTTCTATAAAATGTTTTTGTAGAATTCTGTGAAGAAGTTCACAATTTATTTTGGTTATGTGACAAAAGAGTCTTTCAGTTTTATTTTATGCATTGGGTTAGAAGTTTGTTATTTTCTAATGATGGATGAGTGACAAAATGTTTCTCCCACTGAAAACGTTACGTCCAGATAAACAGAATCAACCTTTTGGGAATTGCAGGTCAGGTCATCTCTCATCCAATTGTAGAATCCCCACCAAAGTGTCTCCTATGTAGGAATGCGTGATATTTTTCCCCCAAAAAGTCAAAGAGCAATCTGGACAAGTGCCCCTTGCAACCTTGTTTGATTCTTTAGCCATTTCCAAAGCCAGGAATAACATGTATTTTATGTCGCAAATTCAATGACAAATCATGTTGGTGCAAGACTGAAGTCAGAATAATTAAACTTAGAGTGAAAAAAATTTCCAATCTCAATCAATTTGAAGGTGGATGCAGACAGACTGAACTGACTTAAGCTAGTCACGATTAACACTGTGAGACAATATTGATATTGTGAGTCATGTTGTTAATTTAATCATTTGTAACATCACACAGAAACAGGAAAACAAGAACAGGCAAACAATAATATGTAAATAACAGTATATGCAAAACATCATGTTTTCAGCAAAATCAGGAAAAAGTTCTTTGTATTTTCTATCTCCAATTAAACAAATCAGTGTTAAAAGACAAGTTGTGTATAGACACTCTTTCACACTCTGCTTTTGATATGAGAATACACCGTTTCCTCAGTTTCCACTTCATTCTTCTTCTTCCTTCCTCTTGCACTTTTATTTCCAGAGAAATGCAGTGCAGCATAGTTTAGATCATGTCCACTTTCAGTCTATGCAAAATAAAATTCATACTGTTATATAAAGCTACAGTAAATCGTTTCCCTGAATTAACAAATGTGATTTAGTCTTATCACTTACATGTTCATTCATTGTTTGGCTCAAGGCATCTTGTCTTGCTTGTGAAGAGCTGTTTTCTGGGCATAATGTTGATTTAAAAACAATAAAAATCCACATTACCTCATGCAATTTTTTAAAAATTAAAATTATGTTCTTGACCTTGATGTGTTCAAATGTAACGGGGTGTGCACTCAGCAGCTAATATCAAGTGTAAAAGTGTATATAACATATGTACCAAATACAATTTATTGAAAATGATTTAGAGTCAGTGAATAACACTTACCTTTAAATTGTTTACATGCTGCTCTTGGAGTTCGGCAACAGATGCAAACAACATTAAGAATCACAGAAATAAACAAGCAGATTATTGCTATAACCAGCACAGTAAATTCAGAACCTGCCTTTTGCTCTAGAAAAAAAAGGAAAGAAATGATTAATGATTCTGAAAGACACAGAAAACTAGCTGTCATATTATTCAAAGTCCTACCTGTTTGAAGTTTAGTTCCATTTCCAAAGAATAATTCCCAACACGTGGCCACAGCACAGTAGTAAGTCCCTTCATCAGACGAGCTGACGATTTTAGAAAAAGTATAATTGCAGCTCTTCTGGGGGTCAGATCTCTTATCACATTCTTTACTTTTGTGTCTGTCAGTGTAGATTAATTTTGGATAACTTTTATGTGATCCAGCTCTGAACCAGAGCACGGTGAGATCTCTGGGACATGTCTTTTTGTCAGAGTCAGAGAAGACTGAGCACTGAAAAGTCACTGAGTTTCCTGGTTCCTGGACTGTTGTCAGCGGTGACTGAACAACAGTATAGTCTGATGTCCTTTGAGTGCGTCCTGGATTAAATAAAACATGTTAGCAAATGTTACACAGTAGTGTGCCTTGCACTGAAATATTTCACTTGGAATATCTTATGAAATCACTAAAATTAGTTAAAAAAATAGATAAAATGTATCTTAGATTTTATGAAATGTAAATTATTATGTCAGTTTTCACAGCATGTTTATTTATGATGTTACTTTTCCTTAACACTGCTGCTTTACAGGTTAAAGTGAGGGAAAACTTGTAATTAGATTGCGTTATTACCTTTGACTAACAAATACGAGCCGCTCCATTCAGTATTCTTGAACCACTCGGTGATTCCACAGTGATAGATTCCCTCGTCCTCTTGGTTTGCCCTCAAAATGGTCAGGTTGGTGGAATTTTCATTGTAATTAACCTTCCATCTTGATTGATTAAACTCAGCAGAAAACTCAGGTTGTGCAGATTCCTTCAGTGTCCATATTAATTTTAGAGAGTCCCCGGTACTCTGCTTGTACCAGTCGACTTCTCTACGGCTGAACTGTGAATTCTTACGCAGATCACATGTGAAGGTTACAGTTTCACCAAGTTGAACTGAAATTATCGGGATAAGTGTATCTAAATTCAAAGAAAACATAGAAAGTCTACAATATTAAGTCACAATGATTATTGAAAACCATGAAAACAATATGAATATGAACATGAATACAGAATACACGGAATACAAAATAAAATAAAGAAAATACTTACATCCTTGATGGAGGTAAAGCAGTGTAACCAATAACACAATCATCTTGACAGTGTGTCTTTCCTTGAGCTTGAAGGTATTTCATTGACTGTAGGAGGTATTACAGCATGTCACACTGTCAAATGAATCTGATTGGTTACCACAGAATAAAGATTCAAATGCACTTCCTGTCACACATTTCTGTTGTCCCGGGCAGGTCATCTCTTCCTTATATATTTAGCCATTTTAATTATAAGGTAAATTCCTTTTCTAATTAATGTTAGAGGTTCATCTTGTAGTTGTTTCGACTTTGCTTTTGAATATTTACTCTCTGTCCTCATTGTGTGTCAGCAGGTTCTTCTACAAAGTGATTGTATTGGTCAGTTGTTCATATCATTTCAAACAACCCTTTTAAGTGTTCAGTGTTTCTCAATAGACATGATGGATCCTTACCAGTTTAAAATGTTCATCTTTAAAATGTAAAAAAATAAAATAAAATGTTAATGTAATGATATAGGTGTGTTAGGGGTTTAAGTCCTGTCTGGGACCATGTTTAAACTTTCCTTTCAGTCATTGATTATTATCATTTTCCTGGTTAGGTTTAGGCAATACATCTAGGTTAGATCTCGAGTGTTATCTGATTTACGGTGCTCTGTCCTATCTAAGAGTGAAGACCCCAGCATAAATTTTACATGCATTTAAGATAAGATAAGATAAGATAAGATAACCTTTATTAGTCCCACACGTGGGAAATTTGTTTTGTCACAGCAGGAAGTGGACAGTGCAAAAGTTATGAAGCAAAAATTAGAATACAATAAGAATAAATACAGTACCCAACTG